GGGTGAGATTTCCCCCTCCTTCCCGGAATAATGTTTAACGTCCACCCGAAGGGGACGAGGCTTGGTCTCTTCTTGTGGCATTGCCACGTAGCGTGTTGGCATAGCCGATGCTACTTGGTTTTGAACCTGCCCTAACAGATCCGTTTTATACTGCATGAAGACCTCGACTCGTGCATTGAGCACAACGGGACCTTGTGCAGCTAGAAAGTCCGCATATTCTGGGCCCACGGCCGCAGTCAGCTTATCAATCGCGACCTTTCGGGCCTCAAAGAGGAGTGTGGATTGCTCCATCCTCACAGAGGATTAGTTGTAACGACTCAGGCGTAGATTGACTACAAGTGCTACCAAGTGTAGCGGAGCTACACAGCTCCTTAAGTCAGAGGAAGACTTAGTGCTCTACGATCAACTTGGGTTCTACGAACCCGACTCGAAGAGTCAACAGCTCAGAGAGCTAAGGTTTGGTTTAAAGAACCCGAAATAAAGAGTCAACAAGCTCACAGAGCTTATGGTCCCTGTTCCAAGGGGAACAAATGATTCAGAGAATCGACGCAAAGAGTGCACTAGGAGTAGCTGCCTTAACAAGTCGTTACTGTAATGGAGTTCACCCCTTGCGTGAACTTAACGCAAGGGTGACGTGTGCCCGACTAGCGTACACATGGCAACCGAGGAAGCGGTAAGCAAAACAGAACCCGAAAGCTCTGTCTTGAGGGAAAGGTAGAACTGTTTATTTAATATTGTTATTACGTTAATAAATCATCTTTTGACTTACTCTAATTATATTAAACTATCTCCTCCTATGTAAGTCCCTTGCTCACCACTCATTGCGCGCGTCCAGCAGCGATTGGTGGATGAGTTGGTTGATGTACACCGTACATCAACCGAGAAGTTGACCCCTCCACGGATATTATCCATATCGATAATAATCCGACAACATCACACATTTCGAGTGATGTTGATTGAATATTATCAAAACCGATAATATTCAAAAATTGGATATTTCGTACCAATTTTTATGTAACGGGCTCACCTCGTTACAGTTGCTATCTCCCCAACGATCACAAGACACCTCAAAGAGGCACGTGTTTATCGGATCAAAATGGTAACTGAATTTCATATCTTCTTTTAACCTAAAAGAACACTTGGAACAATGTAATTCACCTACTCTCTCATGTCCTAAATAAGACCTCTCAAAGGATCTCGTAATTTGTTGTTGTTTTTTTGTTGTTGTTCAGATGGTCTATTTGCACGGTGTTAACTATGCGCCTTAACCTCTGCAGTTTGCTAAGCCAGAAGTGAGCGCCGGGAGACCCGGAGGCTAATCGTGGCTGGTCCCTATAAGAGAGACTCTCCGAGGAGCTCACCCATCTGCGATGGTGGCCCCTTCAGCCGCTTGCGCGGCCCCCGACGTGGAGAGGATCACCGAAGTGAGTGCGTGGCGTGGAGAAGCCAACCCGCCGTATCTCTCTCCGAGGAGCTCACCCATCTGCGATGGTGGCCCCTTCAGCCGCTTGGCGGCCCCCGACGTGGAGTGCGATCACCGAAGTGACTGCGTGGCGTGGAGAAGCGACCCGCCGTATTCTCTCCGAGGAGCTCACCCATCTACGATGGTGGCCCCCTTCAGCCGCTGCGGGCCCCGACGTGGGTGCGATCACCGAAGTGACGGTGGGTGGAGAACGCCGACCCGCCTACTCTCTCCGAGGAGCTCACCCATCTGCGATGGTGGCCCCCTTCAGCCGCTTGCGGCCCCCGACGTGGAGAGCGATCACCGAAGTGACGCGTGGCGTGGAAACCCAACCGCCGTATTCTCTCCGAGGAGCCACCCATCTGCGATGGTGGCCCCCTTCAGCCGCTTGGGCCCCCGACGTGGAGTGCGATCACCGAAGTGACTGCGTGGCGTGGAGAACGCCAACCCGCCGTATCTCTCCCGAGGAGCCACCCATCTGCGATGGTGGCCCCCTTCAGCCGCTTGCGCGGCCCCCGACGTGGAGTGCGATCACCGAAGTGACTGCGTGGCGTGGAGAACGCCAACCCGCCGTATTCTCTCCGAGGAGCTCACCCATCTCGATGGTGGCCCCCTTCAGCCGCTTGCGCGGCCCCCGACGTGGAGTGCGATCACCGAAGTGACTGCGTGGCGTGGAGAACGCCAACCCGCCGTATCTCTCTCCGAGGAGCTCACCCATCTGCGATGGTGGCCCCTTCAGCCGCTTGCGCGGCCCCCGACGTGGAGTGCGATCACCGAAGTGACTGCGTGGCGTGGAGAACGCCAACCCGCCGTATCTCTCTCCGAGGAGCTCACCCATCTGCGATGGTGGCCCCCTTCAGCCGCTTGCGCGGCCCCCCGACGTGGAGTGCGATCACCGAAGTGACTGCGTGGCGTGGAGAACGCCAACCCGCCGTATCTCTCTCCGAGGAGCTCACCCATCTGCGATGGTGGCCCCCTTCAGCCGCTTGCGCGGCCCCCGACGTGGAGGCGATCACCGAAGTGACTGCGTGGCGTGGAGAACGCCAACCCCGTATCTCTCTCCGAGGAGCTCACCCATCTGCGATGGTGGCCCCTTCAGCCGCTTGCGCGGCCCCCCGACGTGGAGTGCGATCACCGAAGTGACTGCGTGGCGTGGAGAACGCCAACCCGCCGTATCTCTCCCGAGGAGCTCACCCATCTGCGATGGTGGCCCCCTTCAGCCGCTTGCGCGGCCCCCGACGTGGAGTGCGATCACCGAAGTGACTGCGTGGCGTGGAGAACGCCAACCCGCCGTATCTCTCCCCGAGGAGCTCACCCATCTGCGATGGTGGCCCCTGCAGCCGCTTACGCGGCCCCGGACGTGGAGTGTGCGCTCGCCGCAGCGGCGACACGTGGCGCGGGGTACGCCTCCAGTCCATAAAACACCCCTGCTTGGCCGCTTACGCGACCCGTCGGTCCCCTACGCCCACACCCGCGACTGCGAGTGCAGCGCGCCCGCGTCAGATCTTCGACCCCGTCGGCTCCCCGAGGGGAGGATTCCCTCCGACGTGACTGCCCCGAAGGGAAAAAGCCTGGCTGAGCTGAACCGTGACAATTTGGGAATCAAAGGATCTCGTAATCAATGGTGACAGACATCAGTCTTTGCCAATTGACACTGAGTTCTAATTACACTTTAATAGGGGATTACATCCTTTGTGTGGACCACACCTATTGTTGACTACCAGTCGACGTGTAACCTTGATACATGGACTCTGTTTCAAGGCAAATTCATGATGACACTCAGTCGTCGTCGTCGGATCGTTCTCACAGGACCTATTCGATCGCGAGTAAATCTCAAAACAGTACCACAAATGTACAAAAGTCCTAAAATCAGTACTATACTCAACTCAAGTATAAAAAACACTGAATGGTGTCAAATACATTATGCTAACTGCAACATGGAATAAGAAACTGCTAGATTGCTAGGGTAGGCGAGGCGAGGCGGCAGCAAGTCACTCCTACAATAGCAGGAAGTTAGGCAGGAATTGAGGCCACAACCACAGTAAATATACATGTTTGGCCTTTTTGCGCCCGGTGTTTACTTATTAAATAGCTACCAGCTACCATCGTTTCTCTATTAAATCGTCTTGTTTTGCAGCCTTGATTAAGATTGGCATAATACTGTTGAAGGATTGATTAGAGCAGCTGGCGAGATGCCTTTAAGAACACGCGCAAGTATGAGCGAAGGGCCCATTCCAAAAAGGCCTGCGTACATCGTCAAGTGTTGCTCCTCTTGTATTGCCATTATCTGCGGCTGGTGGTGTTCTAGTGGGGGCAGTGGCTGCTGGAACGAAACTGGTCCTTGTGGAGCTACGGGTGCGCCAAATGAGACATTGAGCAGATCCCTTTTGACCTTCGCGAGATGTTGTTGCGAAGGCGGCGCTTGATCCATGGAGGCTTGATATGGAGGTATCTGCTGCTGATGGCGGTAGTCGCTCCAGCTCGATGTACGACGCGTGGAGGTATAACTTGTTCAACGGGGGGTTTGGTGGGGGGTAGCAGTAATTGTGGAGCGTGCGTTCGCCCCGACACGTCGGGCCCCAGGCATTGGGGTCGGTGCTCCGGGAATGACGCCAAAGGTAGCCGAAGCAAACATCTGCCGCTCGTCGATGGTGTCATTCGCATCATCATCTTTTATGGGATCGTAGTGCTCGTAGTTGCTCGGGCTAGCGTACTCTTGCTGCGGTTGGATGTTGGGAAGACTGGGGAGGGTTCTGTCCCTGGCCGCCAACAGCGGCAATAGGTAGATGTGTATCATACTTACCTTGTATCCGTAGATGCCCAGGTTACCTTGGTTGTACGGATTGGGCAGGCCAGTGCCCACAGGTATGTCAGCTCCAGTTGGACCAGGTGCGAGGTTGTCGGGTGTGGGTATACCCATAGGGCCCCACACGTTCTTAACAACTCCGCGCTTTCCAGCATCGAAGCCCGCAATAGGGTCTGGGCCATTAGACCGTCAAGCCTAGGCGTGCCGCCCTGGCCACCGATGTTACCATAATCGTTCACCCCGAACGATCCCTGCTGGTCCCTAAGGGGAAGCTTGGTCAGACACGGAATTGCAGGCTTCTACAGCTGCTTACATGGCCTTTCAAAAGAGGCACAGTACGAGCTGGTAGCTATATGAAGTGTTAGCATTAAACACGAAAGGGTCGATCGAATGTATTTCAATTTACTTGCTACCGCGCTTGCTGTCAATGCCTGTTTCACTTACTACCCTCTCGCTCTCCCTAGCAATTAAGCAGTTTCTTGTCCCATGTTGCAGTATAGTATGATGTGGTTGACACTATAAGCGTATTTTTTTATACTTAAGTTGAGTATAGTACTGGTTTTGGACTTTTGTGCATTTGTAGTACTGGTTTTGAGATTTACTCTTCGATCGCTGCGGCAATCCAAACACAATCGACATGGCAGAAATGGTCGTCGGGTCTGTTTCAAGACTTCCTTTGACGCTTTCTTAGCGTTGTCTACCGTGCTGCCACTGCACTACACGGTCGTTGCTTCAGCTACTACGTACGGCAAGAACTTGGGTCACATTGGACACGGCGTGAGTCGCAATCTCATCCACCGCAGCGCGACCAGACCAAGCAGACGTGCTGACCGTCCAAGCTCTGTTCGCCTGGACCAGCGGCTCGATGACGTTGAGCCAGTCGTTGAGTTTCCATGACGAGTCAGCTTCGGCAAATGGTACGCCGTTCAAGATGTATTGCGGTGTGCCCGTGACGGTGCGAGTACACGCGTACTTCCACGTGACGCGCGTGCGTCGACGCGCTTCAGCAGTCCCGTTGGTCGTCATGCCTTCCTCCCATTGTTTGTCCGTGAGACTTGGAAACGTCTTTTTCGCCACATCGTACAGCTGGCTCCTCACTTGCGTCGCGCTCGCGTCTTTTGTTGCCGGATCCCAAAAGCTGTCCACAGCGCAACAGCGTCAGTCAGCACTTGTTGTTCCGACAACTGCTGTGCAATACCCTTTCAGCAATACAAGCGATTCAATTACCGTTCTTGGTGCTCGTACAGTGCCTCAAGCCACGGCGCGAAGAAGCCGTCACCAAGTGCCGATGTGACAGCGAAAGCAGATTGAGCCGCCGCGAATCCGTGTTGACGGAAGGGGAGCGGGAACACCACCATCTTGACACGAACGTCGCTGGGCTCGTAGTGGTCCGCCAAAGCCTTCACTCCGTTGTACGCGGCCTTGCTGAAGGGACAGAGCGGGTCAATGAACGCTTCGAGCTGGACTTCCGCACTGGCACTTCCCCTCCCGATCGTGAAACCTGCTGGTGCCTCGGGCACAGGTATTTCGGCGCAGGTCTCGCTGAGATGCAGTAGGAAGACGGCAGTACACAGCAGCAGCATGGACGTCATTGAGGGAACTCGAGTATGGGTTAGCGATAGACGAAAGCAGGAGGCGGTCGGCAAATCCAATTCGTCTGTTCGTCCGTCCGTTCGTTCGTTCGTTCGTTGGTTCGTTCATTGGATGGAGTGGCCGATCTACCGGAATCACAATCCCAACGTTCACGTCCCCTTCCTCTTTTCTGAAAAGCCAGTCAAAAAGTGCTTCCGCGAAGATGGCGCCGTCGACACGCATCGTTCCCCTTTTGCTTCTGTCTGCAGCTCTGTGCAGTCTATCGGACGCTCTGCCGGTCCCGAGACGTCCTGTGGGATTCACGCTGGGCAATGGCAGCGCAAACGCTGGTGTCCAACTCGAGTCGTACATTGACTTGGTAAGCAGCAGCTGCAACGAATGCTCCGAAGCACTCGAGTTGCGACTTACGAGCTCTCTTTTTGTGGCAGTTGTGTCCCGACAGCAAGTCCGCGTACCCTGGGCTGAAGAAGCTGGCAGAGCAGTACAAGGCCGATGACCTGCGGATTCGGTTCGTGCTGTTCCCGCTGCCGTACCACCAGTACGCTTTCGTGGCGGCTGAAGCTGCCTTCACAATCACCATGGCGTTGGGAGACGAACGGTTCATCGATTGGCTCGAGGCGGTCTATGCACGCCAAGACACGTACGATGTTTCTCCGTCTGTCGACTTTGTAGGGTGTCCTGCTTGCACGATGGCTACCGCGAGACTGACACGAACCGACTGCATTGTAGGTTCTGGAACAGGGCGACACAGGATCTGAGCCCCGTTCAAGTCATCGCGCAGCTCAAGAGTCTTGCTCAAGCGACGTTTCCATCGCTGACACATGAGCAGTGGGACGCACAAATGACCGCGTTCGGAGGCACCGACGTGGACGAGCGCGCCCGCGAGTCGTGGAAGTACACGTGCTCGAGGGGAGTGTCCGGTAGCCCCATGTACACACTGAACGGCGTCCCCTTCCAGGCTGATGCCGACTGGTCTTTCGAGCAGTGGTTTAACGTTGTTGACCCGCTTGTAAAAGCCAACCGACCGGTACAGGAGTTGCAGGCCGGAACTCAAGCATGAACACATGCGGACTCGAGCGTAGTATCTCGTGCTTGCTCGGACTGAGGTGTCGTGCACTGCGTACATACTGGGAAGTGGCTACTACTGCGCAAATCTGTGAGGGGGCAGCTGGGTGAGCGAGAGCATGTGAATACGTATCTGACTGTGCCATGCGCTGGTAGGTCGATGAAACGTGCGTCTCTCTCGCCAAGGGTGTGTGCAACTGCAGTGAGGTTGGGATCTGCTATGGTCTTTCGAGATGGCGTGGAAACTTGCATGTGTAAGTGAGAAGCACAGTAAAAACACTGTGCAGATCTGGTTTTTCCTCGGCGCATTGCGACCGGATGTTTGTTTGTTATGAGTGCAGTATCGCATCCCACGATCCAACCAGTGCTCGTGTCCAGAGACTTTGGCGTCTCCTCTCATCATGGACAGTGTTAGCATGTCCTCTGTCGTGGACATTGTTCAGCACGCTGCAATCGGCACCGCCGCCGCGACCGGCGGACTGACTGTTGTGGAGAGCATACTGTCCCGACGAGTGAAGACGCCAGGCTCTCTGGTCTTGTTTCCATCGTAGACAGACGTGCGCGCACCGTTACCCCGTTACCGGGACTTGTCCATACCAAAGACTAAAGAAACGATGCAAGTCGATGAATGCCTCCTCTAGCTGCTGGACTTCCGCAACAGCACTTCCTCTTCCAACCGTACAATCCAGTTGCGCCTCATTCACAGGCATCGGCCTCGGTATTCGGCACGGTACAAGCAGAGTCGCAGAAGCAAGAGACCGGTAAAAAGTAGCATGAACATCATTCAGATGTATCGATTGCCGATAAGGGATACATGAGATCACGTTTTCGATCACCCCCGTGAATGTTTCGAGCTTTCGAGCTGCTGAAAGCAATACTCTCCGCATTTGTAAAAAGACTCGAATCACTCCATTTTGACATGCATAGATGAAACGGGGTTACAAGTCGACTGGTAGTCAGCAATAGGTGTGGTGCACACAAGGGACGGAATTCTCTTTTTAGTAATATTAGAACACAGTAGCAAGTGTTGAAGACTGATGTCTTTTAACCATTTATTACGAGATCTTTTGAGAGGTTTTATCTAGGGCATTAGCGAGTAGGTTAATTATGTTGTTCTAAGGTGTTCTTTTAGGTTAAAAGAAGAAATAAAATTTAGTTCCCATTTTGATCAACAAAAGACACGTGCCTCTCTGAGGCGTCTTGCGATCGTAAGGAAGTAGCAACGCCTTGTTAAGGCAGCTACTCCTTGTACGCTTAGTGCGTTTAATTCGTTGAATCGTTTGGTCCCCCTGGAACAGGGACCGTAAGCTCTCTGAGCTTGTTGGCTCTTAATATCGGGTTCTTTGAACCAAACCTTAGCTTTCTGAACTGTTGACTCTCCGAGTCGGGTTCCTATAAACCAAAGTTGCTTGTAGAGCGTTAAGTCTTCCTCTGACTTAAGGAGATGTGTAGCTCCACTACGTTTGGTAGCACTCGTAGTCAATCTACGCCTGAGTCGGTAACGACTGATCCTCTGTGAGGATGGAGCAATCCACACCCCTCTCTGAGGCCCAAAAGGTCGCGCTTGAGAAGCTGACTGTGGCCGTGGGCCCAGACTATGTGGACTTTCAAGCTGCACAAGGTCCCGATGTGCTCAATGCACAAGTCGAGGCCTTCCTGCAGTATGAAACGGCCCTGTAAGGGCAGGTTCAAAACCAAGTAGCGTCGGCTATGCCAACACGCTACGTGGCAATGCCACCAGAAGAGGCCAAGCCTCGTCCCCTTCGGGTGGACGTTACACATTACTCCGGGAAGGTGGGGGAAATCTCACCCTCTGAATCCGTGAGATTGAGATGGCCATGAGCTCTGGCCTTATCTCACTGGAGTATTAGCGGGTCTCGCTGGCTATCTCCAAGCTCGATGGAAGAGCTAGATAGTAGACTCTAACGTGTGGCACGTCGGTCGATTTGGCGTTTCCCACATGAGATTCGCTCAAGTTAGACCTTTTGCGAGTTTTCTCGCCGCCTAACCAGGCTTATCGCGTGCGGTCACACTTCTTATCTACCCGTCAGGGTAAGAATGAGTTAACGGACTATGTCCAAGAGTTGAGAACTCTGATGGTTGCTATGCAGTCTCACCCTCTCCCTAATACATTCTGTGTGACTGTCTTCATGAAAGATCTTCGTAATTGCGTTGCCATCACAGAGGAGTTTAGGTCCATCCCTCTACTTTTAAAGAGGCCGTGATCATCGCTCAAAAGGCTGAGCACAGCTTCAAGTCGGCCAGCCTTATTTGGAATGGGTACACTTAAGCTTTGCGAGGGCAGCCTCTACGAGCACCTTGGCTTACTGTAAGCCAGAACCGATGGATCTCAGCTATGCTGAAGATGAAGGTGAAGCAGAGCTTCAGATTGCGAAGCAACTACAGGAATTGAGACGCTGTTACATGTGCGGAAGCATCAAAAACTTGTGCCCACTCGTCCTTTGGGTAAGCAACGACCGACTCCTATGAGTCGAAAGCCCGGCCCCAACCAGAAGGCTGGTATGGAACGGGGAAACGTCGACACCCAGTAGGTTCGGGGTTCCCTACTGGGGTAGAACTGAGCTCTGTTGCTTCTCTACGAGGTAGAGTGAAACAGGGCTTAGCCCCACTGAGCTCTGTGCCCGCTAGCACAGAGCGTGGATACAAGCCTGGCTTGTTAGTCGCCGAGGCGAAATTCAAAGGCTTTGAGAAGCATTGGTCGATCTTAATGGACTCCTGAGCATCATGCCATTATGCTCGACGTCATTCCCTTGAGGGAAGTCAGCGATATGCCGAGGCGCTCAAAGCGCATGAAGGTGATTCGATCACCGTTCGTTTAGCGACTGGTGGTCGCGTCACGGTGCCTAAAGTTCTGTTGAACTTAGGTGTGAAGGTTTTGGACTTTGACATCAGTGAACGCTGCCTTGTCCTTGACTTGGATTCGAGATATGATTTAATCCTAGGTATGGCATGGCTCAAACGCCATGAACCATGGATCGATTGGAGGTCTAAGACCTTAGGCGACACGCGCAATGTTCCTAGCGAAGCTTTGGAGAGTCATGAACCCACCTTTTCTAGGCAACAAAAGCACTATTGGCGCGAGTCAGTGGCGGAAGATGCCAATGTGCTAGACATTGGTATGTCGGAGCTAACTAGCTGGAATGGCAATGACATCAATATTGAGCGGAACTCTTTCACCGTATGTGAAGGGAGTTATACTCCGTTGAGTGACACTCGTTGTGATACTGAGTCACTGAATGCTACAGGCATGGTTGGCCTAGGGACGAGACATCAAGAATGTAATTCCTCTGATGTGAGTGGGGTGGCACGTGAAATTCCATTGAGTGAGAGCGGCCGAGGTGGCACCTCACTGAATGTCGGTAATGACATTGTTGGCGAGAAGACAAAGTGTTCAGGGCTAGGCCCGGATGATGTACGTGATGTGGTACGTGTAAATTCACTGGGTGAAGTCTTCGAGTTACGTCACACTTCACCAGATATCGTTCAAGACATGAGCTCTCGTATAGAGCGTGCTAAGATGAATAGCAACCACGGGGACCCGACTGTCCCGGTCTCTAGGAGGCGTAAGGTTTCTTTGAGGAAACAATCCAATTGTTGGGTGGCAACTGTTAAGCACCCAACGTCTAAGACGTCACGAAGTGATAATAGTAATAATACACTATATACACTTGTCAATGGGTTGACAGGCCTCATTGATGGCAATATTATTCTTGAGACTCTTCCCTCCTTGGATACTCTCTTTGACCTAGACGAAATGTCTGACGGCGAATTTATCCAAGCCTTTCAGGTAGGAGAATTGTCCGAGTTGGTGGTCGTTCGGCCGGATACTGAGTTGAACTCATCCTAGTTATTGGACGAGTCTGTGTTTGAGGACACAAGGGTAGCACTGGATGCCCGTAGTGGATCTTCGATC